TCTTGCGAGAAGGACCTGACGACTTGCCCGGCACAGTGGCCGAGGGGAGCACAACTTTGGACTTCTTAGCGACTGTCGTCTCGACCGCCGCCGAAGGTGCAGCAGAATTCGAGCCGCCCCCGACCTCTTGGGCAACCGAGGCATCAACTGCCTTATTCTTCTTATCAAAGCGAGCCAATGCTTTTACTAAAAAGGAAAGGGAGAGTTATCAATACAAATAAACGTATAAGTCGTGCATACATTTTAGGACACTACAGAAATACAAGGCCAAACCATCGGTAAATGAAATGGAGCAAGAAACGACAAACAAAGAGCTTACAAGGATCGACAAGACGAGGAGCGCTTTTATCAACGCAAATACCGACATGATTAAGTAAGGAAGTATCTTTGGTCAGTTGACGAGCACTCCACACATGTTGGTTTAACTCTTCTAGCATATCAGCGAACTGTGAAGAGTCGGGACGCTTACGCTGCTTTTTCTTGCTAATAATCCACTCATTTGAGTAAGGATATTGGCCAGGAGCAGGTCGAATGAAGAAGTATTTCTTTTTCCATTCAGTAATATTGGAAGAAAGGTCGTCAAGAAATGTAACACCTACTCGACGGCCTAGACAATGGGCGTCCTTGCTAAACCTATACCCGTAACAATAAAGAAAAAAGTCGGGCAAAAAATCGCCTAAAACTATGCGGGTAACAACTATAAAGGCTACCATTATTCGAATAGAGTTGGGGGTGAACTGGTTTATTGGTATATCGAAAAGGTTACTTAATGACTGCAGTTCAGGCTGAATCGGGAAACGTAGGCCCGACATTACTTGGTCCACGAAAAAAGTAAAACAACCCTTGGGAGGGTGGCGAAAGTCATCTTCAGGCTTAGGAGCAACTACGGCCCAGTCCGCGGGAAGGCCGCTAAACTCCCTGAAGCCATCGATTTCGGCTGCAGGAGCATAAAGAAAACGATATTAAGAATTTGCCATGGAACATGCTATAGTTGCAGACTCGATTAAGGAAAGTCGCCATAAAGGAGCAGGGCAAGCCGCATACAGGGGTGTTCAAAAGAACCTAGCGGGAAATATTTCGAGAAGCCAAGTCGGGATAAGAGGTTTCAAGGGTGTTGAGAACTTCGGGATCCTCACAAAGGGTGCCCGAAAGTAACGCCTGGTTATACACATCCCAGTCGATGCCAAAAGGTGAGGCGGGCAAAGGGACAAAATCCTCCGACTCGACGTTCGGATGAGAATACGGCTCGGCATCGTTCAGATGAACAGAGTCCGAATCCAAGTAATTGTCGATCTCACGGGCGAGAGAGCCGGAGATGGGGTCAGAAACAGGGTCGAGATCGGAATCTAAGAGGATAAAGAATGGCAGACAAGAAAAGTTGTCAGAAATCTCGATTCGATTTAAAAGAAAAGGGGTCAACAAAATAGCCAGGACGACATGAAAAGTGTCCCGACAACGAGAAGAAGGGAGGAGAAACGGGAAAAATCTTCCCCATAACGATTCAACTCGACAAGGGAAGATCG